CCGCGCGGCCATCCGCGGGAACTGGGAGCTCGCGTCCATGCGGAAGATCCCCGACGAGAGGCCAAAGACATAAAAGTCGAGCGCCGCGAACAGCCAGCTCGAGCGGCGGCGCGCGGCGACCTCCGGGTCGGCCGCCGCGCCCTCGTGCCAGGTCGGCACAAGGAAGGAGGCGGCGCCGTCGCTGGCGGTCGCGAGCCGAGGCGCGAACGCGCGGAGGAGTAGCTTCTCCGCGCGGGGCGAGTCGGTCGAGAGGAACAGCCGCGCCCCGCCCGGCAGGTGGCGCAGGAGGCCGGCGACAAAGCCGGAGAGGCCGCCAAAGGGCGCAGCGGGGCTGAGATCGAACAGGCTGCCAAAGGCGCTGCAGCGCATCCAGCGGCGGCAGCCGCTCGGACGCCGCGCCGGAAAGGCAAAGGCGAGGTCGAGGGCCCGCATCGCGCCGGCGGCGCTCACGCCGTCATCGATCGCCGCAGCACTTCCGTTGGTGACCGCGCCTGCCACCGAGAAGCAGGCGGCATCGTCCACCTCCATGGTTCGCAGGTGCAGGGAGTACAGCGTGGCAGCGCGCTGGTCGCCGTCGCCGGTCCGGCGCTGCAGTCGAGGGAGCAGCCGCGAGGCTGCGGTCCTCAGCAGCGGCGTCGGGCGGAGGAGGGCGAACTGCGCGCAAGCCGCCCACCCCTCGAGCTTCCTCGAGTCGCGGGGCACGAAGATGCGGTGGCCCATCACGCCCGCCAGCCAGCCCACGGGCAGGGCGCCTGTCAGGCACTGCCCGGCGCTCGCCGGCCGGGCGGCGTCGGGCACGCTCGCGCAGGGCGCCGGCCGCGGGGTGGCGCTCAGCTGGTGGAGCAGGCGGTCGAACTCGGGCCCATAGATGAGGCCAGGGGAGATGCCGGTGCAGCCGTAGCTCTTGGTGAGGGTCGGGTACTCGAACGCGAGGAACGGGTGCTCCTCCACCTCGGACGACGTCCAGAATCGGAGCATGCGCTCGCGCAGCCGGGGAAGCAGCGACTTGGCCTCCGCCTTTGGGCCGCACTGCGCCGGCCGGCAGAGGAAGAGCCAGGTGTCGGCCTCTTCGCCGTCGCTGCCCGGAGCTGGCCGCCGCTCGTCCAGTGAGCAGGCGCCCACCACCGTCTGCCGGAGCCCCCGCCTGCGCATCGCCGCCGCGTGGAGGTGCGGGCGCCACCGCACGTCGACGCCGCCGAGGAGGCCAAAGTAGTCGCCCAGGTCGTAGTGGACCTGGTCGCAGTGCATGGGCCCGTACCGGCGGCCCGTCCGGTGCCGCACCTCGGGCTCGGCCCACGGCTCCGCCTCCGTGGCGCAGTACTGGAAGTAGACTGGCCGCTGCAGCGCAAAGCCAATCAGCAGCCACTTGAGCAAGAACGGCGTCTGCTGGCCGATGCCGCGGTCGCGCCGGGCGATGCTATCCCGCACCACCAGCACGCGCGCATCCGCCACGGAGGGGTCGAGCGTACGGTTGTACAGCCTCCGGTACGACGCGAGGTGCGCGTCAAAGCCGTTTGCACTGCAGGCGGCGCGGTAGCTGTCGAGCTCGTGGCGCACCAGAGCGAGGCGCTCGAACGGGACCCCCGCCTCTGCCGCGTCGGAGGACGGGACGAGAAGGTCCGCCGCGGGACAGAGCGCCGGAGCGTCGCACGAGGCCTCGCCGCGCATTGAGTGCAGCTCTGGTTGCGCTCGCTGGGCTGAGCCAATGTGACTTGTGAGCCTCGTTCCAGCATGAGGAACGTACGTTTTCCCATCGAGGCACGCACAAGTTTGCTGTTTGGATTAAATTGGAACGGCCTTGCCCGCCGAAAAGAAAGCCAATTCGCGGGGAGGGCCTGCGGGCGGCCTTCTCTCGAGGTCTCGAGATACACAAAGCGGCTTGGCCTGCACAAGCTTTTCCGGCAAACAAAAAGGAAAACAGAGGGTCCCCAGCACTTTGCGTTTCCGGAAATTTCCAGGGAAAACAGAGGGTGTTTGGTGCTCCATTCTGGAAACTCGCGAGTTTCCCTGAGTCTGAGAGCTGGTCTGGGGCAAAATCTGACGCAAAATTGAGGAAATCGGCACGATACCCAGGCGGTCGCAGGATATTTTCCAGGTATACCCGGGGTTTTCCAGGTATACCCGCAAAATACCCGGTATTTTGCCGATTTGGCTGATTTTGGGCCCAAACCAGCCTCAGACTCGGCTCAGAGCCCGGAAAATTTGATGGTTTTCCCGGGAAAATAGAGAGGAAAAGAGAGGGTGCTGCAGAGAAAAAAGGAAAGGAAAAGAGACGGGGTGCGAGAGGAAAACCTTGTTCAGCCTAAAAAGCGGCCAAGGAACGGCCCAGAGCGGTGCCCGCTGCCCGCGCGGCCCAGTTTTCGTGTTGGTATTTTTTTTTGAGCTATGAGCTATCAATAACCTTCAGTCCATCACGAGTGTGCTGGTGCTGGTCAATAACAATATGCAATAACATTAACAAAACAAAACAAAAGTGAAAAGACAGGCGCCCACTCACTCCGGCTCCGCTCTCGCGCTACGCAAACGCCTCGCGAGGAGGCGCACGCGCACCTTGTGACTGGTGGCGCCGGCACTGCGCGCTCGCCGCGACCGCCTCGACCGCCCACTCCGCCACCCGCGCGGGATCTGGCGCGAGCGAGACGCTCCGCGCTTGGTAGCGCGCTGCGGGGCTAGAGTGCCGGTCCGTGTCGTTGTAGGGTGTGTCGCCCGGGTAGGCTGTGTAGCCGAGCGCGCCGACGGCTCGCGCGAGATTGAGGTACTCTCCGGGCAGGTAGTATCCAAAGGGATACACCTCGAGAATGGCGGTGCACGGCCGAGCAAAGAGGTAGTTCACTGATCCGGCCCCGTGAGGCATCACCACCAACATCTGCGCACTGACCCACGTTGCTTGCTCCAGAAACGTCCAGCCACCCAAGTCGGCGACGACGTTCACGTCGACGCGCATAAAATGTTGCAACCCGTCGCCGCCGCCCCGGGAGCTTGCCTGGACTGATCGGAGGGCCGAGGAGAGGGCGGCGGCGACCGCGTCGACATTCGAGAGGTTGCGAGAGCCGCGCCTACAGGCACAGGCGGTACGGGAGAGGGGTGTGGAGCGGTGCACGCCGCTCGGGCGCCGCGCTGAAGCACTTCTCGCCGGTTGGCGATGCCGACGCGAAGCACGCCCCCTGCCGTGTGGTTGCGGTGGAGGCGTTGCTGCAGCTCCGACGCGTCGCTCTCCGACATTAGCCACTTCATCTGAGCAGCAGCAGGCTTTCTCTCTGTGGGTCTCCGGAGGCGAGGAGGCGAGGGGGAAATAGGAGATGGGAGGGAAAGAGGAGCGTCTTGTGTGCGTATATGTTTGGGCCGGCGAGGCGCCTCCCGTCCCTTGTAGCCATTGCCACTGCGCTGGCGCAGCGCGCCACGAACGGCGCAACCCGCCGCGTTCAGCGTCGCCAATGGGAGGTAGTACTGCCAGGCGCGAATGCCGCCGAGCACCTCACACCCCATTAGGCGGACGAGGCTCTCGGCCCAAATGACGCCGTCGATGCTGCGAAGGTCCTTCAGCACCAGCCGCGGCCGGGCAGCCGGGTACCGCCGGAAGAACGACCAGCAGGCGAGGAGACTTTCAGCGGCGTGAGCAAAGTGCCTGAAATTCGTCGTCCCGCGGATCGAGTTGCTGCTGTCGATGACGCAGTCAACTCGTGTCGCTTGGGCGCAAAGCGAAGGAGTGACGGTGAATGCCGAGGCGAGAAGATACGTCGGCGTGCCTGCCCCAGGATCCCAGCGCGTGATTCGCCAAGCGTTTCTCATGCTGGAGTAAGAGACCGCGCGAGCGCCGTGTCGATCAAAGCCGGCGGGCTTACCCACGCCATATATATATATCGCCATTGGATAGTCGCCGTTCACAAAAAAAAAGGAGCGATTAAGGCACAAGCAACCGTTCACACCGTGACTGAGACAGAGGTACCACGCCGTTTAGTCGCCGTTCACACACATTTATCAACCCCGGACCCAAGACGCACAAGCAACCGTTCACACCTCTCTCTCTCTTCCTCTCGCTCTTCTCTCTCTCTCAGGAGATGCAAATCCCACCCAGAGGTGTGTGTGAAGTTCTGAAGAGGCGCGGTATATGCTTGGACGTGTTGGGGCTCTCTCTCTCTCTCTCTCTCTCTCTCTCTCTCTCTCTCTCTCTGAACGGCTCTCTCCTTCTCTCTCTGATGTGAATAAATAAATGAAGAAAACAGATGTTACACAACCACTAAGTGATGTCTGGTGTGCGCACTAGGAGCTGCAGTTTTCAGACATCGAGGTGCGCAATGCGCGCCGTCACCTACCGTCAATAAGTAAAACCCGACCGCGCCTGGGCCGGGCCTGTCCCCCCGAGAGCGGTCTGCTAGCGGCGCGCTGGACTAGGCGTGGCGGCGGGCGGCGGGGAGGCTTTGGCCTCCCCTCTCGCGCCCAAATGGAGCAGCCCTTTCGCCGAGAAGTGCTCCCGCACGGCCGCGTTGAGCTCAGACACCAGCCCGGGCGGGCGCGGGCCGAGGGTGTGGTCCCAGTAGTCGGGGCCGTAGCACAGCTCCTTGGCGAAGCCGTCGAGCGGCGTGTCGCCGGTGTCGGTCGCCGAGAGCTCTCCTACAGCCGAGAGACAGCCGAGGTACAGATGCAGCCGAGAGACGGTCGAGAGATGAGCCGGCCGCGCGCCCACAAAGGTCAGGCTACATCTCGGCTACATCTCGGGCTACATCTCGGGCTACATCTCGGGCTACATCTCGCCCACAAAGGGAAGCTCGCCGATGACCTCTCTCACGCCAAAGAGGCCTTGGCAGCTCTGTACCACCGCGGTGTCACCCACGCTCAGCGCCACCTGAGCTTGCTACAGTCATGATGAGATGATGGACTGATTAATGACCGCGGTGTCCCCCCCACGCCCAGCGCCACCCGGTCGAGCAGCAGCATCCCCTCCATGCTCATGACCAAGCCACCGCTGGCGAGCTCGAGTGGCGCCTCGGGGGCCTGCGTGCCGAACACACCAACCTCAGGGAGACAGTCTTCTGCAGCGTATTCCGAGCACCGCGTGAACACGAGCGGTGCGACTACAGTTGAGTACGTGTCCTCTCGAGCGGTGGTTGGACGACCAGAAGACGTGTTCCGCTTCTAGGCGCACGCACCGCCCCGAAGAAGCTCCACGGCGTGTCCTGCTCGAGCAGGTAGCGCATCGCCACGGTCGAGCGCACGCCTATATTCACAGCGCGAGGTGTGAAGAGACGCTGTTCAGGTAGCGCATCGCCACGGTCGAGCGCACGCCGTAGGCCCTCGCCACAAAGTAGTCTGGCAGGCGGGGGGTCCTACTCACAGCCCCTCATGCGTGTCACTCGTATCCGTGTGCAGGGGCCGCTCCTTCATTCCCCTCGACTCCTGCCAACGTCAACCTCGACGAGACTCACCGTCGACGCGACCGGCTCCAGCCCGCCCCTCTCGCTGCCACGCGCCGGCTTGCCACTCCACGCGTGCAGGCCGTCGCCCACGAGGCCAAAGCTCGCGCTGGCTCCTTTCTTCAGGTAGCCGAGCACGTTTGGCACGTCGATGCCCACTCGCTTGTGCGCGTCCCAGCAGGTTGCAATCTCGATGTCGCGGAAGCTCGTGCTGAGCGTGCTCTGGTTGAAGAGGACCACTGAGGTGCCCGTCTGCGAGTGCGTGCCACTCTCGTCGGGAGCGATCAGCGTCCGCTGCTTTGCAGGGTCCGGCGGGTACGGCATGCGTCGAGCCTCCCGACGGAGGTACGAGTTGGCCACCGCAGTGGCGAGCGCGTCGAGCACGGGAGCGGCGGAACAGCCCTGTGGCAGCTCGACAAGGTCTGTCGTCGGCGTGGCGTTAACGAGAGGCACCGCGGTGGATGCCGCTGCCGATGAGAAGAGCAGCGTGGGCGAGCGAGCCGCTGCGAGCAGCCCAACGACGAGGAGGAGGCCCACAGCGGCTGCTGCCGCGCCGAGCAGCGCCAGCCGCGCACACTGATGCTGCACATGGGCAATGAGTAGCCACTTGTGGCCACCCTGTGAAGAGTGAGCTTGCAACGGGGAGAGGATCATACGGACTCCACCGACGGGGGGGACCTGGGCTCGGGCGCCGACAAGGGCCCCCAGTGCATTTTCTTCCTTTTGCGCAATTAATTCTTCTTTTCGACTTGAGCACTGGTAGGGGCTCCACCTTCTCCTGTAGATTAGCATTTTTTGATCGAGTGCACCTACTCATAGTCTGCCTCTTCCTCCTCCTCCTCCTCCTCCTCCTCCTCCTCCTCCTCCTCCTCCTCCTCCTCCTT